TGGCTGTTTTGAAATCTGGAAGCCATCCTGCCCCTTTATAAACTTCTTGAAAGACCTGGGCAAAGCTGTCTAATCGTTTGAGGTTGTAGTTCCTTGGTCATCAGAGCCTCACCACAGGTATGGAGGACCCCAGCAACTTCCCCCCCAAAACGCTCCTGTCTGAAATTCCTTGAGGTCTGCCCCTTTAACTGGCCTCTTAAAGGGGAAGTTATAAACGATGGGCAAGAGAAACGTTCCCAGGGGGGTTATACACAAATTTCAAAAAGGCTGCTTGCTGCATGGCTTCAGAAGCTTCTTAAAAACAATGTGCCGTATATGGAGGTTAAATAATAATCCACCGACAACCCACAACGTAAAACACAGATCGTTCCCTGGTGTATGCCTTTAAGACATGTCTCTTAAAGGAGCAGTGCACATCTTTAGCATATAAAAATGGCAAATTCCTCTGAAGTCTTTTTAAGAGAGTTGGTTAAAAGACGTGCACTGTTGTGAAGCGTCGCGTAAATAAGCAAATAGAATAGAAACGTTTTCCAAGGCTGCAGTTGGTCGCTTGAATTGAGCTCACTAGGGGATGCCTTTAAGTGCCCTTTAAAGGGGAGGTGCACAATTTTTTAAAACTTAACTGCGTTCACTACAAGAAGTAGGAGAGTGTGCCTTTTTTTCGTCCCCCCAGCTGGTGTCTTTTACAGCTTCTCAAAGTGTGGGCATATCTTTAAACTTGCACAAAGCATTCCCTGTAAAGAAACATTCCAAGGTCAGGGCCTCTGAAAAGGTGAGGCAGTGTAATAAATAGTGAAGGCAGTATCTTTGAGCCAGCAGTCTGCTGCTTTTAAATCTTTAAGGTGGTGGTGTGCGCAAAGGGCAAAGTGGTACCTCTCAAAATATCTTTTCAGCTACAGCAGAGGTCCAAAGGTCTCGGCCTACAAAAAATATGTCCGAGTTCACAAACACGAGAGTTACTCTTCCGTCTACTGCCTTTAAACGTTTCGAGGGACACAAGAAACACAAATCGAGGATGAAAGAAGTCCTGAGGCTTGCGACAGAAGCATTTCCCCGTGCCCGTCTGACACCTTTCAGCATTCTTGAAAGTGAAGCTCAAAATTATGGCAGATAAATAAATTTCTTACGAGAGTGCCAGGGAAATTATCTCAGAAAGGTGAGAGGCACCAGAGTCCAGACAACAAGCAGTCATCTCCAACTCATATAAATCCTTTCTTGAGTACCTTAAAGGTTTCTCTAAGACTGGTGTTTTTAAAGGTCTTAAAAGTCTGACGGAGGACAAAATGTGTAAAGCTGGTTTGGTGATGCACCGAAGCTGACTAGGCAAGCCAAGGAGGATTCTGGGAGTCTTGACAACAGTCCCTCCCTTGGGTCAATATGGCCGTCTTCCCGAGCTCCGTGCCGGCGGGGTCATTCCTTGTCGTCTCGGAGGCAATCGAGGGAGGAGAAATGAGGCTCATAGCACGGAGAGGTCGTTACAGGATTTTGACCTCTGCTTGAAGAAGCGTCCGTTTCGGGGCACAAGGCTAGAGAGGAAGCGCTTGGCTTTCTTGGTGATGCTCTCGCGGCGGCCCCCGGCCCCCTCACTGCCAAAACGGTCTCCCTCACGTCGGTGCCGGCGCAGTCGGATCTGGCGCACAACACCTTCGAAGAGCTCTTGGGTATTGTGATGTAAGGCGGCCGACGTCTCGATGTGCTTGCAGTTCATCATCACAGCCAGGCTCCGGCCCTCTGGACCCAGGGGGGGAAAAAGAGACGGATCTCAGATCCTTTTTCCTGACTCTTCCCTATGAGGCACAAATCCCACCCACAGTGCACGTGTTCCCTCTAAGCTGAGTTAGTGTGAGCTAGCTCACAGCTTTCTAGCCTCCGGCTCACACATCTCAGCTCCGGAAGGAGGGCTCCAGAGCAAACTAATTGATGCAGCGGCCAAATCGCTGGCTCACAACTTTTAATGCCAGTAGCTCGCAAAGTAGAATTTTTGCTCACAAGACTCCACGGCTTAGAGGGAGCATTGCCCCCAACAAGCAAATGTGTTTCAGGTAGTACCATTTACAGTAGAGGGGAGGAACTTACCCTCTCTCGAGACCTCCCTGGACCGTGCCAAGTCACTCTTGTTCCCCACCAGGATAATGGGGGGATCAGTTCGGGGGCTCTCCGCCCGAAGTCGCAGGAGAGTCGGGGGCACTCGGGTGAAGCTGCGTCGATCTGTCACGGAGAAAACCACCAGGAAAGCGTCTCCTGTCTGCAGGCAGGACTCCTGCATCCATCCTCCCGGATCTCCCTGCAGAAAGATGTCAGAGAGGGAGAAGGGGGTGCCTGTGTGTTTGTAGTTTCACATTTGTGCCACCCACGACCACATTTCCTCCTTATTTATAGGAGCTGTTCTAAGTGTCATGCAGTGAAGGATGGGGGTTTTTTTGTTAATTAATCATGTAAGGTGTACTTGGTTATGTCTCTTACATCCATACGTAGATGAGTGCAATTTTTCTGAATACCGCCTCCCCCAATTCTTGCTGATGTGTCATAGCCAGTGTTCCCTCTAAGCTGAGTCAGTGTGAGCTAGCTCACAGTTTTTTTAGCCTCCGGCTCACACGTTTTTGTCTCAGCTCAGGAAGGATGGGGCTCCAGAGCAGACTGATTTATGCAGCAGCCAAATCGCTCGCTCACAACTTTAATGCCAGTAGCTCACAAAGTGGAATTTTTTGCTCACAGGACTCCGCAGCTTAGAGGGAACATTGGTCATAGCCGGCACTTTCGTACAGCATGTATGGAAAATGCCGGCCGCTAGTTTCTTTCTGGAACAGACACTCCTCTTTGGTGTCGATCCCAGCTGCCTTCGTTTTTGTACACGGGTGTATTAAAAGTACGAAAGTATATTATTATTTTGTGAAAAATAATTACAATTGTTATTTGAACCCCCAATTTTGTCATCTGTTTTTTTGTTTAAACTATTGGCTAAACGTCTCAGCTCTTGGATGCCGCAGTTGCTACAGACTGTTTCTTTATAATAATGTAATGAAGAGGGGTAGAATTACATTCCCTACCTATATCTACGAGTAAAGGGGCTAGTTTGATAGGACCACCCACAAGGGTTGTCGTCCTCCAGGTGGGGCCTGGGGATCTCCCGCTTTTACAGCTGATCTCCAGCGAATAGAGATCAGCTCCCCTGGAGAAAATGGTTGCTTTCAAGGGTGGGCTCTATGGCATTGTACTATGCTGAGGCCCCTCCCCTCCCCAGACCCCGCCCTCTCCTGGCTCCACCCCTAAAGTCTCCAGGTAGTTTCCAACCCAGACCTGGCAACCCTATCCAGATGGAACCTGGAAATCTCCCACAACGACAACGGATCTCCCAGACTACAGAAATCAGTTTCCTTGGAGGAAATGGCTGCTCTGGCGGGTAGACTCTATGGCACTAGACTCCGCTGAGGTCCCGCCCCAACATAAACCGTGCCCTCCCCAGGCTCCTCCCACAAATCTCCAGGAATTTCCCAACCCTACCCCCCACAGCTCTCGTCAGATCTTGGAAACTAAACAGAGTCAGCCCTGGTTCGGGTGGGAGACCAACAAGGAAGTCGAGGCTTGCTGCACGGAGGCAGGCAACAGCAAATGTCCGGTTTGTCGCTTGCCTTGAAAACTCCAAGGGGTCGCCATAAGTTGGCTGTACCCACAGACAAGGTGGGGGGTGGGGGCTTGAGTTCCTTGGGGCCTACCCCCAACGTGTGAAAAAGCACAATTCAACCTGAGGATGGTCAAACAAGAAGATCGAATCAGTCAATCCTAAAAGAAATCAACCCTGACTGTTCCCTGGAAGGCCAGATAATGAAACTGAAGCTCAAATACTTTGGCCACCAAATGAGAAGGGAGCACTCCCTGGAGAAGACCCTGATGCTGGGAAAGATTGAAGGTCAAAGAAGACGGCAAAGGATGAGATGGTTAGACAGTGTCATCAATGCAACGAACATGAAGTTGAGCAAACTTCATAGGGCGGCGGAAGACCGGAGGGCCTGGCGTGATCTGGTCCATGGGGTCGTAAAGAGTCGGACTCAACTGTGCGACTGAACAACAACAAACAACAAGGGACTAACAGTGTCAGTCAATTGGGGGGCGGGAATAAGTCTGTTGAAGCCCCTCGATTTAGGGAACTGTGGCGGGACGGGATTTCCAAATTGTCACTGTCCACAGTGGAAGAAGAAGAGATTGGATTTATACCCCACCCTTCACTCGGAGTCTCAGAGTGGCTTACAAACTCCTTTCCCTGCCTCTCCTCACAACAGACACCCTGTGAGGTCGGTGGGGCTGAGAGCGCTCTTTCCAGAACTGTCCTTCAGAGAACAGCTCTGACAGAACTACGGCTTGCCCAAGGTCATCCAGCAGTTGCTGGTGGAGGAGTGGGGAATCAAACCCGGTTCTCCCAGATTAGAGTCCGCGCACTTAACCACTACACCAAACCGTGAGCCCTTAAAAGCCCCCGGTTTATTGTTTTACATTTGACATAGGGTAGTCTCAGAAAAAGCAGAAGAGGTTTTCATACCCTGCTTTGCTCTACCTTAAGGAGTCTCAAAGTGTCTTATAATTGCCTTTCCCTTCCTCTTCCCACAACAGGCACCCTGTGAGGTAGGTGGGGCTGAGAGAGCTCTGAGAGAACTGTGCCTGGCCCAAGGTCAACCAGCAGGCTTCATGTGGAGGAGGAGGTGGGGAATCAAACCCTCCGGATTAGAGTCCACCAGTGTTCCCTCTAAGCTGAGTTCGTGTGAGCTAGCTCACAGTTTTTCAGCCTCCGGCTCACACATGTTTGTCTCACCTCAGGAAGGAGGGCTCCAGAGCCAACTAATTGATGCAGCAGCCAAATCACCTGCTCACAACTTTTAATGCCGGTAGCTCACAAAGTAGGATTTTTGTTCACAAGTCTCCACAGCTTAGAGGGAGCACTGTCCCCACCACCCTTAATTTGAAGTTTCAGGCTAGGATTACAACCTGTCAGTTCAAACTGACCCTCTCAAGATTATTGTTGTGAGGATTAAGCGGTGGAGAGGGGAACCAAGACTAAACGCCACTCTCGAGGCCCCCAATCAGGGAGAAAAGGAGGCTATAAATAAGAAGAAGTGATAAGCAAATAGGAATTGATTCATTCACCTAATCAGGAACTGAGCTGCAGAAACCTGAACTGGGGGGGGGGGCTCTCCAGCTTCCCTCACCCCCTTTCAAGTTTCCCAACAGCTGACAGCACGCCACGTATTTGTGTCTCTCTCCCGCCTGCCGCTCTCACACCTTCCGAAAACGCCGGGCCCGTTTCCACATCTCTTTGTGTATCCGTGCACGGTTGTGGCACCCCCACCTCCCTGAAGCCTCAGGGATTGTGTCATCTGATCTGGATTTGCATACATTTGCATGCCACCCCCTTCCACGCACACCCACGCCGGGGATGCTGCGAAATGTTGGGCCACAGTCCCTATACATCGACGCGCTCTCCATCTTCGAACGAAGTAAATAACAGCAGACGCCTCCATATGGCTATTTCGCTTTGCATATATATATTTGAAATAAATCTGTATATAGCCCGTGTAACCCCCCCACACACACACACATACATAAAGAACGCTAAACCCGTCGTGAAAATAAACGGGGATCTGGCAGAGGTTTTATTCTGGCGTGTCCTTTCCGGCACTGACGGTGAAATGTGCCGTCAAGTCACAACCATTCTGGGATTCCCAAGGCAAGAGGTGAGCAGAGGGGGTTTGCCATTGCCTGCCTCTGCATGGTCATCCCGGTTTCCCTCGCTGGTGCCCGGTTCAGATTCTAACCACAACCAACCCTGCTTCACCTTCCAAACTCTGACAGGAAAAGGAGAGCCTGTTTAAACATACTAGCTACTTGAACATTCCACGCACGAAACTGCCTTTTACACTGGTCCATCGAGAGAATGTCGGATGAGAGCGCTCAACATTATGCTCAGCATTCCACAATTAAAGATACACCTGTCCAATCGGCTTCCAATTCCGACGCATTTATTTCATGCACTATGTCGTCCCGTTCCCCCCCCCCGCATTAAACCCAAACAAATGGTCACCACATAACCTAAGCTTGTTATTCCTGTTTGGTCCTTGAATCTGTTGAACATCTTCATTGTGCTGCATTGCTCATTTACTGCTCATCCTTTACCTCTATGCCTGGACTGGAAATTCCCATTTCATTGTATCTGACCTTGAATAAAACTCTGTTGGTCTTAAAGGTGCCGCTGGACTCAAAAAATGGTAGCCATATAAACTAAGTTTGTTTTTCTTGTTTGGTCCTTGAATCGGTTGAACATCTTCATTATGCTGTATGCTCATTTACTGCTCACCCTCTACCTCTATTGTTGGGTGATAGTGAGATATTGAAAAAATGGTATTTAGCAGAGATAAGATAGTCCTGCAGAGCCAGAGTAAAACAATTCAGACCGAGAGTCCATGTGTGATTAAAATATAAAGTTTTTACTAAATTCTAGCATGGGAAGGGTAACTGGGATGAAAATAACAACAGAGCATAATTGGCTACATCCTTACTCTACAAAGACAAAACTGGAAGAGAAGAGATTATCGCTGCTCTTCTTCTTCTTCTTCAGAACACCAAACAAAGACGGGAAGAGAAGCCATAAAATGGTAATACACCTTGACACTTTAGTCCCAATCAAATTCCTAGATCAGGGAGAAAATTCCTGGGCTTTCTACATCTAAAGAACATTGGTTACATGAGAAACATGTGACTTCCTGTGAGTAACATAAACAAACATTTAACCCCAGATATACTGAGTGTTTTCAACTTGTAATACCCAACATCTATGTATGGACTGGTAATTTCCATTTCATTGTATCTGAAGAAGTGTGCGTGCACACAAAAGCTCACACCTTGAATAACAATTTTTTGGTTTTAAAGGTGCCTGATTGGACTCCAACTCTGTCCAGAAGAGAGCCATATCGATCTGCAGGACACTTAGATCTGAGTCCAATACCACCTTAGAGGCCAACAAGAATTTTGGGGTATAAGCGTTCGAGAGCTCTCTCAGAAGTATCTGATGAAGGGAGCGTTGACTCTTGAAAGCTTATACCCCCAAAATCTTTTTGCTGTCTAAGGTGCTACTGGAACGGAATCTAGCGTGTACATCTTATTCTCCACCCAGACCAGCAGCGGCTCTCCAGGGTCTCAGGTGGAGATCTTTCACATCACCTGCTACCTGATCTTTTTTACTAGACATGCCGGGGATTGAACCTGGGACCTCCTGCATGCCAAGGAGATGCTCCGTCACAGAGCCACAGCCCCTACCCCTATATCAACTTAGTAATCACTCAGAACTGGATCCCATGGAAGGTGGTGGCAGATATTGGGAAGGTGGTGGCAGATATTGGAAGAAGTTGAATAGGTCCTAGAACAAGTTAATCCTTCGCAGAAATCACAATATTATAGTTTTATTTGTAAAGAATGGATCTTATAAAATATTGAAATGTAGTTAGTACCTTGCCCAGAATGTTTGTATAGTGTTGTTAATTTGAAATCTTTATTATTGTGTTGTTAATATAGCAAGTTGATGTTAATGTATAGTTAATGTTTATATTGGAAATTTAAAAAATTATAATAATAATTTTTAAAAAAGAACTGGATCCCATGAATCTGTTCTGCTAGCACAAGGACCAGTTTGGTGTAGTGTTTAAGAGTGCAGACTGTAATCTGGGAGAAGTGGGTTTGATTCCCCACTCCTCCACATTCAGCTGCTGGGGTGACCTTGGGTCAGTCACAAGTTCCCTCAGAGCTGCTCTCTCAAGAGCAGTTCTCTCAGAGCTCTCTTAGTCCCACCTGCCTCACAGGGTGCCCGAGGGGAAGGGAAAGGAATTTGTAAACCACTCTGAGACTTTGAGTGAAGGGCAGGTTATAAATCCAATTCTTCTCCTTCTTCTTCTTCCTCACAGGGCATCTGTTGTGGGGAGGTGAAGGGAAAGGAGTTTGTAAGCCGTTCTGAGAATTATAAAACAATCATAAGCAGTCATAAACATCATAAAGTGCTAGTGACAATGGTAGTAATAATAGTAATATTGCACATCAATGGTGGAAACATCATAATAGAGTAGGCATAGTGGGATACAGTCTATGTTGATGTTCAGCTCATCTTAATCTATATATGCCGGCAGGCACAGGCTGCTGGTGGCAATTGCAGGGGAACAGGGCCTTATCACAGTTCAGTTATTAGATGCGGCTCTTTGATTAAAGGCCTGGTGGAAGAGCTCCGTCTCGCAGGCCCTGCGGAACTGTCCAATCTCCTCCTCCTCTTCTTCTTCCCCTGACACGTCTTGTGCCACTGCTAGTCAGGTCCGTAGCTACAGTGGGGCATCTCAGAGCTAGGCCTCCTGACTTACTGGCATAGCCCCCCCCCCGACATCCCATCTAGCCCAGGGCTCCTGAGCAGCAGTAGGTGTGGGGAAGGAGCCACGTATTTCTTTAATTCGACTAGCCAGTGCCCCCTGAGAAATTTAAATCCCCCCTGACTTTAAAAAATCCTGGCTGCGAGCCTGCTGCTGGTGGAACAGATTGATGGGTTCCAATGCTCAGTCTCCTCACTGGGAATTTCCACCTTTGTATTGTCCTCACCGTTCTCTCCCCTGCCCCCAGCAAGTAATCAAAACAACAACCAAAAGCTATGTTAAGAACATAAGAGAAGCCAATATTGGATCAGCCCAATGGCCCATCCAGGCCAACACTCTATCACACAGTGGCCAAAAATACCAGGGGCCATCAGGAGGTCCAACAGTGGGGCCAGGACACTAGAAGCCCTCCCACTGTTGACCCCCCCCCAAGCACCAAGAATACAGAGCATCACTTGCCCCAGCCTGAGAGTTCCTACCTATACCTTGTGGCTAATAGCCACTGATGGACCTCTGTTCCATATGCTTATCTAATTCCCTCTTGAAGCCGTCCATGCTTGTAGCTGCCACCACCTCCCGCGGCAGTGAGTTCCATGTGTCAATCCCTCTTTGTTCTGTGCCCCAACTCTCAAGGGGAGGATGACAACCCGTCTGTCCTCAGTTCAAGGGTCACTCTAAGAGAGTCTTCCTCCTCTTGCTCTTCATAGGTTACTCTCCTACCCATGCCCATTTCCAGCTTCTTACCAAGGAGCAGAACCTAACTCCAGAGAAGACCTTTTTAGCGATGGCCTTTGGCCTCTGCTCCTGGGCGGGTCACCAGCTAAACTTTTCGTGCCTTCACCTCATGTCCTGCAGCCCAGTGTAATGTGGATCGCTCCTAAGCCAAGGGGCTTTCGAGGCCCGTGAGAAGCAGAGGTGCTTTGCAATTGCCTGCCTTCGTGGTCTCCCATCCAAGGACCAACCCTGCTTGACTTCCGAGATCCGACGAGATCGAGTTATGCCAAGCCTTATTCCCTAACAGGCTGCCCCTGTGTCTTCCCAAAACAGCTGCTGAATTAAGCAAGAGACAACCTCAGAATCATAGAATCCTAGAGTTGGAAGGGATCTCCAGGGTCATCGAGTCCAACCCTCTGCACAATGCAGGGATTTCACAAATACCTCCCCCACGCACCCCCAGTGACCGCTGTCCCATTCTCAGATTATGACAAAACATCTCCAGGATCTCCAGCCAAACCGGCCTGGAGAAAAATTGCTTCCTGACCCCAAAGTGGCGACCAGCATTTCCCTGGGCGTGTAAGAAAGGGCCATCTTCTCAAAGACCTGATTGAATAAAAAACATTGTCTGTTGCTTAATTCTCCCTGCTCTTGACTAGAGATGTAAAATTTCCGGAAATTTTGAAGCTCGGAAAAAAACCCGTTTCCCCCCCCATTTTTTTCGGGGGGAAACGGAAATTTTTGGAAAAATTGAAAAAAATGCTACATTAGCATTTCTTTTGTCTTTTCTAGACTGAAAGTCATTCTGTTACTTTAGGAACATAAAATATGACTATGGACATTTTTACTTGGCATGAAATTATCACAACTAGCATATTAAAAATATAGTGTATCCAAACAATTATTACAAACAGAATACCCACCCACATGCAAAAACAAAACTGAAACCTTTTTATTTTCTCGTGACAATAGCACCTCCTAAAGGAAGAAATGCATCTTGTTCTTGCATTGGAGAGTTCAGTTTGTAACCAAGGACTTCCTTGTCCTCAGTGCACAGAAATTAGATCAATCTGGTACCATATATATATATTTTAGAAATGATTTGGAAAATATTTGAACACCTTGTCTTAAAATATTTTATTCATCATGTTAAAATAAAACATTCCATAATCAATTTTTTCCCTTTTCTTTTTTCAATTTTTCGGAAAAAAAACAAAAAGGCTTCAGGGAAAAAACGGGGGGGAAAACAGGTTTTTCCCGAATTTTTCCGGTTTTTTTCCAGGCCTTCACATCTCTACTCTTGACAATCCTTTTCATTCCATCTGATCGAGATGTGGGTTAAGGATGCAAATCATTCCTACCTGGTCCCAAATGTCATACAATATCAGAGTGACCTCTTCATCGTCTACGTCGAATTTTCGTTCGTAGGAATCCTCTGGAGGGGACAAAAGAAAACCAGAGAGGGTTGGGAGCGGGGGAAGACACTGGAATTATTCAAAAGGCACCTTTTCTGGTGGATGCGTTGGAGGGAGGGGGTCCTTCCTAGCGGTAGGAGCAGACTCAGCTGGTGTTACTGCTGTCAGTTCCCTGGATAATCTCTCTGTGATTGTTTTGCAGGACATATGTGTAAGATCCCTGTTTTCATACCAAGGGTTACTTCACGAGTCCCCCAACCCCAGATTGGCCAGTTTGGTGTAGTGGTTAACTGCACGGACTCTAATCTGGGAGAATCGGGTTTGATTCCCCACTCCTCCACTTGCACCTGGCTGGATGACCTTAGGCAAGCCATAGTTCTGGCACAGCTGTTCTTGAAAAAGAGCAGTTTCCGTCAGAGCTCTCTCAGCCCCACCGACCTCACAGGGTGTCTGTGGTGGGGAGGGGAAGGGAAAGGGAGTTTGTAAGCCGCTCTGAGACTCCTTTGGGTGGTGAAGGGTGTTGTGTAAATCCAATCTCCTCTTCTCCTCTTCATCAGCTCTAGGCTGTAATTGATATTCTGAAATAGCCCTGACTTCAAAGCTAAGAAAGGGACGGTTTCTTCGGAACGAGAAAAACGAAATTGTCCTGCAGTCTGTTACCAGCAAGATAGATCTCAGCAGCGGCACAGTAGGAAGTGGCCGCCTGTGCTCTCTGTCGTGCACTACAGTTCACGAAGAACATGCCTTCATTTGTGTGCGTTGCCCGGGCATTGCACTTCTAGAGGCTTGTCAGCTCGGAAGAAGGGCAACACTGAAATTCAGACTAACAAGATTTTGACAAGGCATTCCCCAGAAGGCAAAAATAAGGACAATTTAGCACCCGGGAGAGTCAGAGGGACGGAGCATTTAATGTTGTGCTTTTAGTGGTTTTGAACCGTTTAATTGTGTTTAATTATTCAGCATGAGCTGCCTTGGGGATCCTTCCGGAGAGTCGCCTGGTGTAGAGATGAAGTCCATGAATGAAAATAATTTTGAGGAGAATCGCAGGGCAGCCCGATATTCTAGAAGGACACAAACCCCTTCTCCACACGGCCGAACTGGAGGAGGAGATCGATCGCCTTCTCTTCATGGGGGAGATGGAGTAATGCTAAAGCGTTTAGCCCCGAAAAGGAACAGAACCCTTTCTCCGCCTACATCTGCTCTCATCTCCTGTTCTGTTTCGGATTTTGTAAGGAAGAGAAAAGGGCCCCACCAGGTGAAAGAAGGCATGGGGGTGCCAATCTCCAGGCGGGTCCTGGAGATCTCCCAGAAAGACAACTGGTCTCCAGCCTACAGAGATCAGTTCCCTTGGAGAAAATGGCCGCTCTGGAGAGTGGAGTCCATGGCGTTATACCCTTCCCCGACCCCATCCTTCACAGTCTCCACCCCCAATTCGCCAGAAATTTCCAAACCTGGAATTGGCGACTGTAAAAGGACCACAACCTCCCTTGGAAACTCTGTGCCAACAAATGCATCATGAAACGCAATATAACTAAACAAGATGAAAAGGCAGACAGGAAGAAATCCAACTGGTGATGCTTCCCCCCCCCCATGCTAGGTAAAGGTTTCCCTTGCTCAAAAGCCCAGTCGAATCCGACTCCAGGGGGCGGTGCTCCTCTCCGTTTCCAAGCCGAAGAGCCAGCACTGTCCGAAGACGTTTCCGTGGTCATGTGGCCGGCACGACTAGACGCCGAGGCGCACGGGACGCCGTTACCTTCCCCACCGAAGTGGTACCTATTGATCGACTTGCAATTTCTTGTTTTCGAACGGCTGGGTTGGCAGGAGCTGGGGCCAGAGACGGGAGCTCACTCCGTCATGCGGCACACTCGGGTCTCGAACTGCTGAACTACCGACCTTCCGGTCTGCAGCTCAGCGTCTTAACCACTTGAGCCCCCCCCCCCGTGCTACTAGATCCCAAAGGAGTTGAACATCTGCACAAGAACAGTGCCGGAGGAAAAGATCTCCAAAGGACAGAAATCAGTTCCCTCCGGAGAAAATGGCTGCTTTGGAAGGTGGCGTCTACGGGAACATACCCCATGGAGGTCCTTCCCTTCCCCAAACCCCGGTATCCTCAGGCTCCACCCCTAAATCTCCAGAAATTTCCCCACCCAGCGTTGGCAATCCTGCCTACCACATACCCTGGGGCCCTCCGGCGTCTTTCTTAGCCCCCTTTGGACTCACCTGCGTGCTCTTCCTCATGATGGGAACTCCCTTTCATGCCTCCAAAGATGGCCGCCAACGTACTCTTCCCCACGCCGGTCTCCCCGAGCAGCATGACTTTGTAAGGGCCGCGGCCCCCGGCCGGGCTGGCTCCCCCGGTACTGCTCACCTCCGGGGAGCTCGGGGGAGAGTCCAGTTCCTCCACCGCGGACGCTCTCATCAGCTGGTGCTTAATGGGCAAGGGCATGCTACCCCGCCGGGGCCCGGCGCCCCCTAGTGCCGGCGGCAACGTCATGGTGGGTCCAGTGCTGCAGGGACAGGGGAGGGAGACAAGAGCGTGAGTGTTTTGGAACAAAGGGAGTGTTCTCAAGGAAAAGAACCCATGGCTTTCCCCCTTCACTGAGCACCTATTAGCACAGGCTCCCAGAAGGGCCGTAGATAAGGTCACCGACCTCCAAGAGCGGCCTGCAGATCTACCAGCGGTCAGTTCCTCTGGAGGAAATGGCTGCTTTGGAGGGTGGACTCCTACCCTCTCCAGGCTCAGTCCCCAAATATCCGGGAATTTTCCATCAGGGAGTTGGCGACCTTAGCTGTACAGTATTCAGATCTCATTAAACATCCTGCCAAACGTAGGTTCCTCCTGGTCCTCTCTAGCACAAATACGTGTGGGGAAGGGTATAGAAATGAGGGTGATTTTCGTCCACCATATTTTTATAATGTGTATACATGTGTTGCGTATACATCTATGCCTCCTCTTCTGCCTTTCCTCATTCGTCCACTTCCCATGATACCAGGGGCATAACCAATGCTCCCTCTAAGCTGTGGAGCCTTGTGAGCAAAAATTCTACTTTGCGAGCTGCTGGCACTAAAGTTGTGAGCGAGCGAGCGATTTGGCTACTGCAAAATTAGTTTGCTCTGGAGCCACCCTTCCTGGGCTAGGACAAAAACGTGTGAGCCGGAGGCTAAAAAACTGTGAGCCAGCTCACACTAACTCAGCTTAGAGGGAACACTGGAGAGTATATGTATTCTATGGTGGCTGAGTTGTCTGCCTTTGGAGACATCATGCACTACCTTGGCGTGTCACGTTTAACGGTAAAGCCTATTCCTTCCACTGGCACGCCATACAACATGCAAGAGACGCAGCCAGGGTTGTGCACCGATCCAGTAACATGCACTCTCGGGGAGCACTGATGCGCGCGCACACACACATATACCATTTTCCCTGGCTAGCCAGACAACAATGCGTGTGCTTGAAATGGCAACTGCGCTCATCCAGAGAACCTTCCCCCTATGGGGACTGAGGCCTGGGCAGAAGAAGCCGCTATTCACTGAAGGGGAGTGTGCCGAATGCACACTGGCGCATCTGTTGCACAGATTAGCAGCACGAAGCGGCGCATGCAGACTGCCGTCGGATTAGAAGCACGCCAATCCTTTTGTCTCGCTTTCCCTCGCTCTCGCACACAATAGACTCAGAGAGTGAAAAGAAGACATCGCCAACCTACACATCTCCCCCACCCCCCAAACACATCTTCCTACACCCCGCATTATAAACAATGACAAACGTATAGGCAGAAACGGCTCGGCTGATGTCAGTCGTCTGAACCGTATCCTCACTGGACCTCGGCTGTCTGAAGGTGTCCACCGTATGGCGGACCCGAAACCCCCTCCCTTCCCGGGTTCGTCCAAATATACCTGGCCGGAATTGCCCTGTCTGTCAAGCGCTACAGTCTTTCGGAGAAAGTCGCTTCCTCTGCACCTTCTTCCCAGCGCTCTGAGACTGGAAATATCATCACACAAGACGGGGGGGGGGAGGATAAGGTTGGGAGATCACGACTCTCGGTTGTTGCCAAATCGCTGCAAAACAGCCCTGGTGTGCTGCAGCAGCGTGGGCCTCCGAAATCACCCTGGGGGTTGTGGCATGGCCTTTGTAGCTCATCAGCGACTTTGTGGGGTGCGAAATCAAGGAAGCAGACTCCACGCCAGTGCTCTCTCTCTCTCTCACAGGCACCCCGCCATGCCGATCCCAGTTCGGAGAGAGGTGCCTCTGCTTTCCCATGTTCTGTTCGTGCCCACGCCGGCTGGCACACTCCTCGCCGTGCAGCCCTGTTGACTTGGCACCTACCGCCTCTCGCAAAGACATCTGTTGGAGAAGTCTCCCCCAAAGGCACAAGAAACCTGCAAAGGGAACAGCCGCCCACCCAGGGCTGCACCCCTGGCTCTCCCCCCAAACCGCCTAGACCCTCCTGGTACATCCCACCCCCCAAGCACTCTCCAGGGTTCCCTCTAAGCTGAGTGAGCGTGAGCCAGCTCACAGGGTTTTCACCTCCGGCTCACACCTTTTTGTCTTAGGTTGGGGAAGGAGGGCTTCCAGGGCAAACTAATTGGTGCGGCAGACCAAATGGCTGGCTCCCAACTTTCGATGCCAGCAGCTCACAAAGTAGAATTTTGGCTCAGGAGACCCCACAGCTTAGAGGGAGCCCTGATCTGTCAGCCAGTGTTCCCTCTAAGCTGAGTGAGTGTGAGCTAGCTCACAGTGTTTTAGCCTCTGGCTCACACGTTTTTGTCTCAGCTCAGAAAGGATGGCTCCAGAGCAAACTGATTTATGCCGTAGCCAAATCACTCGCTCACAACTTTAATCCCAGTAGCTCACAAAATTGAATTTTGGCTCACGAGACCCCCACAGCTTAGAGGGAGCCTCGATCTGTCACCCTTGGCTCGCCTTTTGCTTCCTTGGAAGAAGGGGCAAAGCGGGGAGCCTGCCCCCCTGTGGATCTCCTGGTTCCCTCTGCACCCTCAGCCTCCCCAAAGGCCAGCCCCACTCCACTTTAGAAAATGCCTCCCCTCCCCCACCCAGAGTCGCCCCCAGCTTATTTTGCACCCTAGGCGAGGATCCCTTCTGGCGCGGCAAAGCGGGGAGCCTGCCCCCCTGTGGATCTCCTGGTTCCCTCTGCACCCTCAGCCTCCCCAAAGGCCAGCCCCACTCCACTTTAGAAAATGCCTTCCCCCCACCCCCACCCCGCCCTGGTCAGGTCACCCATGCTTGCAAACGGGGCGCCCTTCCGCCCACCCCCGGGACTCACCCGTTTCCCAGGCAGCGGGGTCCAAAGCGGGCCGGTGCCAGACGGGGAGGGGACCCCGGGAAGTGCCCACACGGCTCCCTGCTGCAGCCCAAATCTGGAGGAAGGGGGCGCAGCCGGAGGGATGCGCGTGGATGATGCTAGGCAGGGGGGACCTGGGCAGGGGGTGTGTTTCTGGAGAGGGGGGGTTGGGGGGAGGCGGAGGGCGACGGGGAAGTCGTCGAGGATTGGAGGACGGCCGGGGAGAGGGCAGGGGGGGAGGGGGGCGCAGAGCGCAGGGGAGGGAGGGAGAGGTGGCGAGTTAGAAAGCCAATATGGGGACTCGCCCGGGATTGATCAACGCGGCGACTCGGGCTAGAGGCCCCTGGAGGGATCCAGAGGCGCAGGAGAGCGAGAGAGCGAGAGAGCCGGAGGAGGAACGGAGTTCACTTGATGTCCTCCGCCCACGCCCTGCCAAAAAGGCGATCCAGTGAGGGATTGCCTCTGTCGATGGGCGATGTGAAACCACGAAGGGATAATGTCACGTTATTCCTAATTTACAGAGATGTGGCTCCGGCATCTTCCCTAGCAACTCAGTGTATCTGGATATGATTTTTCTATGATCGCTCATTTTTTAATTCGAAACAGGGATGTACTTTGTACTTTTTTTTCCAATGGAGACCATGCAAGTTAATTGGCCTTCCTGGCTCCCATTGTTTCCAATGGGCCTTCCAGCCTCTCCCATTGTTTCCAATGGGCAATCCTGTCCTTTTAGTAGCTTGACTGTTTACCTGTTGTATTTTGCATATTTGTTAGTTGGTTACTTATTACACTTCACGAATTGTAGATTCTTGAATTGATAATCCAATGGGCCTTGCAGCGTCTCCCATTGTTTCCAATGGGCAATCCTGTCCTTTTAGTAGCTTGACTGTTTACCTGTTGTATTTTGCATATTTGTTAGTTGGTTACTTATTACACTTCACGAATTGTAGATTCTTGAATTGATAATCCTGTAAGATTTCATGCAGAAGGGGGTTATTTTTGTGTGTTTTAATTTTTGATTCTTTTGTATTGTGATTGTTACTTAATATGTGTATGCGAAAATAGTTTAAATATAAAGAAAAGAAAAAGAAAAAAATAACATGAAGGGGAATTCCAGGCCTCCTGCTTAAAGCCGTCTGATCCATCCCTCCTTCTCTGTATGTGTGTGTGTGTGGGGGGGGAGTGTTACCCATCCCTTTCACTCCCCTCCCAGACAACAGTGCCCCCCCCCAGTAAATACAAGGACTGCGGTCACACACATTCAATAATCCACTTTCAATCCACATTCAGTGCACTTTCCAACTGGATTTTGCCAGTTCACACCGTAAAATCCAGTTGGAAAGTGCACTGAAAGTGGGTTATTTTGTGTGTGTGGCTGTAGCTGACCTGCTCGCTGGCAGCTCAAGGAAGTGAGCCAAGCTGCGCGTGGAAGTCAGATTCTGAACCTCGGTGGGGGTCCTGGGATAGATGGGGATGTCTCGGGGAAGGACCCTGAGAGAGAGGTCCATCGGTGGGTATAAAGCCACAAGGTATAGATAGGGACTCCGGGGCAAGTGATGCTCTGTATTTTTGGTGCTTGGGAGGGGGGGTCAACAGTGGGAGGGCTCCTAGTGTCCTGGTCCCACTGGTGGACCTCCTGATGGCACCTGGTGTTTCTGGCCACTTTGTGAAAAGAGTGTTGGACTGGATGGGCCTTTGGCCTGATCCAACATTGGCTTCTCTTATGTTCTTATGACACCAAGAGCAGGTGAGGCCTATGGCGAAGGGGCCTACAAAATGGACAGAGAGAGGAGAGTCTTTTGGGGGAATGCATCGTATCAGGACTGAAGGTAAGTTTGCAGAGTTCCAGGTCGATGCTGGGTGGGCCTGTGTCCGGCCTGATGGGTCCAGAAGGGGGCCCGGGAGAAATTACGGTTGCCAGGCCTGAGTTGGAAAACACCTGGAGACTTTGGGGGTGGATCCGGGAGAGGACAGGGTTGGGGTAGGGTAGGGGCCTCAGCAAGGTCCAATGCCGTAGAGCCCGCCCTTCAAAGCAGCCATTTTCTCCAGAGGAGCCGACCTCTGTCAGCTGGAGATCAGTTATAAAAGCGGGAGATCCCCAGGCCCCACCTGGCTGGCGACCCTAGAAGAAATGCGGTGCCCGAATTGTGGGAAGGGGAGCCAAGCAGAAAGAGGGCAGGTGGGGAGTTTCCCCTCA